GTTGGAAGATTGTCATCAGTTGTGTGATCTTTTGCTTTGGCCAGTCTTATGCTGTCTTCATGTGTATTTAGACTTGAATTTGAAAGGACCACTTTGGAAACAAAACCAGTGTGCTGCCTTCACCCCCATTTGCAATCCGTTTGAGGGCACATCCTGTTTAAATGGGTGGCTGCTGTAAGCAAGAGCGAACCATTTAGCAGAATGTTGTGCTCTGCAATAGCTCTTGATGTGGTATCCACGGAAATGCCAGGTTTTACACTAGGTAATAAACTGGCAAGGAGTCAAGTTGTTGTGACTGACTTGCGGTGGTTATGTAAAGTTCTAGCTGTGAACTGACTTGACTTGCTCGAAGGAAAAACATGCAAAGCTTGTTTATAATCTTTTTTTCCCTCCTTCTTTCTTTTCTAACTTCTTGCAATCATAGGGCACACAGTTGATTTTCAGTGCTGCTAAAGAACTGGGACACTTGTCAAAGTTGAAGGTATTGTTCTGTATGGCTTGTGTTAATGTCTGTGTGTGTAAGCATGGAAACTGTAGTAGCTCATAGCATGTCTTGTGCTTCCAGTGGTTTGTTGCTAAATGCAGTTGCAGAGAAATGCTTTTAAATGCATAGAATGTGCTCTTAAATGCATGTTGCTAACATTAGTATTGTGTTTAACTTAAATTTTATTGTCGGTTTAATCATCAAAGTAGTTTTCTGTAGATACAGTGATCAGTTTGGTATGTCAATTTAAAATGAAAAAAGTAGAGTTCTCAATATATGACCAGTTCCTCTGTATCCCCATGTATAAAAGGGAGTCCCTTATGTGATCCTGATAATGAGGTATCAGTTGGAAAGATGATTGTGCTAGCTGTTGATGAATTATACGAACTGTTACAAAAATAGTTGTTGCCTATGGAAGAGAGCCCGTGTCTGTAAATTCCTTCTGCGTGGGCTCTCTTTACAGGCAAGCTGGCATTTAGCATGAAAGCTATGTTGATGTGTTTTGACAGTGCATGACGTGACAGTGCATGGCATGAGCATTACTAAGTGCACGCCACCTCATCATAAGCCGATAGAGCATTAATTCACTGATCACGACAGGAATGGTATGAAAATAGCGACGCCTTACAACGTTCAAATTGCACTGTGTTGTAGTTTGACTTGTGCTGCAAAACAGGTGTTGTGCAAGAGGAGGTCTAAATCTGAAGCGTCACAGTGCACAAACTGTGCTGCTAGGAAGGCGGAGATGAATGTGAACTCTGTCCTGGAGTGTGATCAGGGAAATCTTCCCACAGCGAAGGGCATTCTCCTAAGTGATTAAATCAAGTTCATCTTTTTCCATAACATTTTTTTCTCATGCACTTATTACAGCTGTCTCTACATGACTATCTGTTTCTCTTACCCAGCAGACACATTTTACATACACATGTTTATGAGCCGGGACAGTCCACAATCCATTTAAGTCAATGCTTAGTAGCAATCCTAGTAAGTGATCTGGACATGCAGGTGTGCCATTACATGCACACACTTTTCTCCAGCTGTGTTTTGAAGCTGTTACGTAGCGGTTAACGGTGACATAACACAAACCTTCCAGTGTGGTTCCCCAGGGGAATAGCTGTCACTTGTGCTGGGGGACAGCCCCTTGCACTCCCACACCCAGGCTGTCCTCCTGGGTGACGTGGTGGCTCCCGAGGATTGCACTACCTCTGCTGCTTCCTGCACTTACAATGCTCTGTGCTGCTTCCATGGGAGTAGTGGGGAGAGAGGAGCTTTGTACCAGCCTGGGAGAGTGAGAGCTGGATCACGGCCTCCAAATGTGACTCACTTTTCCTGTGTGTATCCCCTTTGCCTTTTAAAAACATAAGCAGAACCCAACATTTGGAGGAAGAGAAGCCACCCCTACCTTCTACGTGCCCTCCTGATGTCAAAGGGGGGGAGCTCTGAATTCACTCCGTTTCTCCTCCCAGGTCACAAGGACAAGTTTGTGCACAGACGACTGCGAGTTCCTGTGGCTTGCTTGCATTCTCGGGCAAAGCCAGTGACTTTCACTGTTATCTTCTACTTCTTCCCCATTTTCTCATTACTGGAGTTTCTTAATGTATACAAGGTGTCTTTTGCCAGGAATGAGTTGGAAGCTTTGCTGGTTTCCATTCACACTGGTCAGATGAAGGCCATCCCTCAGCATCAGCCTGTCTTCAGTTCAGTGACTGTAAAGCTTAACTTTGATAACTCTGGACTGCGTTTTTAGAAATGCGTGCAGTCATGCAAATCAGGCAAGCCCTGGTGTGTGTTCAAGCCTTTATTTGCATATCCATATATAGGACTACAGCAGCACAGGTACATGAGATTTTATATGTGGCAAGAGAGCTGTACACAAGTGTGAAAGCACTCTACCACCTGAATTTTGGAGACCTTTAGTTCAGACAGATGGTGTGAACTGACATTGTGTCCAAAAATTTGCGGAAGAGTAAAGGTGTTACAAGAGTGTAAACTGTTTGGGCCTGTGTAAGTATCGTGGATATTATTTTTTTAATCCTTTTGGTTTTGCAGGCGTGTACAAGCTAACAGGGAAAGCATGAGTAAATGGCTCTTCAGAGCCCCTCTCCTGTGCATTTTGCAGTTCCATTAAAAGCCTAGGAAAATTATGGGATGGATTTTAAGCTTTTTTTGTCTTAAATAAAACAGGGGGAATAGAGCCCTAGTGAATCAGGTAACTCAGCTTAAAACTGAGACTGTCAGACCTGACAGGCAAAGGCACTCGTCCTGATGACAAATCAATTTCACAGTGTATTTTTAAAATGCTCAGAAAATCCAGCCATCAACCTGGCACCTTGGTGCCACGTATCTGCCTCCCGTTTATTATCAAACTCTTTCTGCTCAGTTTGCTGGAGCAGGGAGCAGCAGCCTCCTCTCCCTCATGCTGCCCCCAGGGTAACCAGTTGAGTTCTGACTGCAGAGGTTCTTCTGAGAGTACCTGTGGAGAATACAAGGATGAGTCTGAGAGACCAGGAAAAGATTTTTTTTCTTCTTCTTCTACTGCTGCTTGAAGTTGCATAACTGTGTGGTGGAAATGTTTGTGGCTTGCTCCTGGCTGGCAATCTGGGAAGGGCAGGGTAGCACTCTGTGCAGTCCTTTATAGGAAGAGTGTGGGATTTGCAGAGGGCAGGTACACGGGGGAATGGCAGTGTGGGCTCCTCTGAGTGTAGGTGCAAACATTACCAGTCCAGTCACTGGGTTATTTTTACATAATGTGTTGAAGTAAATGGCACTGGGAAACTGTCTTAGAAAGCAGTGACATGTTGCTGTGTGTTGACAGCATGGGCACCAGTGGGGTGACTGCTCAGAGAGGGGCTGAATAAGCTCTTCAGGTGTTTAAGAGAAAAATGGTGACCACCTGGTTTCTGTCACACCATGGGGAATCTGGCAGGCAGACCTAGAAAGTCATTTCAGCAGACATGAAAGTCACTCTGCCTTGGGGACGTAGCTACCCTCACTAAATTGGACTCTCCTGTGAACGTGGCCTTGGGCTCTGGCTGATTGCACACTTAATCTGACTGTCAGACAGAGAAAAGAATGTTTTACTCTCTGCGCACTGAAGTGTGAAGCCACATCTTCTTCAGCTGAATTACTTTGAGCTCATGAAGAAGAGGGAGGAGAGGTATTTCTCCCCTAAGGACAGCTTGTCTCAACAGGAGATATGCTGCAGCTTGCAGAGCACTGTGCCACCCCACGTAGGTCCCCAGACCAGGAGCATCCGGTGTGGGAGAAAAAGGCAAGTTGAGGCACGTCTCTAGTACTCAAGAAAGCACAGTGAAAACTTGTCTGGGGTACTGCTGACTTGAGAGGCGTCTTCTGTACAGTTTGGTGCAGCCCTGTGCAAAGGCGCTAGCTGGATGCCTGTGAGAAGCATGGCAAATGCCTCACACTGCACCTAGACTGCCGTGAGCCCTGTCTCCATCAGGCAGGAGGTGGATTGTGGTGGATAATGAATGGGAACAACACCAGGCAATGTGAAGAATCACCAGGCTGCAAGATAGCCAGCAGGTTTATCAGCGTGAAATGTACACATGATGCCACACACTAGGCATGCTTTACTCAAAGACAATTTAGTAGGCGTGTCTCCTGGAAAGTGTCTTGTATCAGAGGCTATGACGTATTTCAAGTAAGGATAAGTAGCCTTTGCCTGATTTGCTTGCATCTTTTTCATGAATGCTTCAGCACCCAGGCTGCAGTCAGCTGGCCTGAACCTCCAGCAGCTCAAACAGTTAGAATTTGGGTTTGTGCAAAGCTTTGAATTCCTAAAATGTGCCATTTCCCCCTGAGAACCTAGACTAAGCATCAGAGAGAAAGAGCTTATTGAAATACCAAAGGATGGAGCATCCTTGTAGACAGGCAGGAGTCTAACAGGGATATGCTGCCACTGCAGGAAAGGGAATCCCTTCCCACTGGCTCTCTGCTATTAGAGATAGTAAGTCTTAATGGGAGCAACTTCTTCTTTTAGCAAAGGTATCTTCTAGAAAATGTTGCCTGTTGGTTTGTTTTTCTTTCTTTACACCAACAATATGATGAATTAGTGACCTTTGTAGATGGTAGAATTAAAAAAAAAAAATCCACAAACAATGTATAGCAACTTTGCCCAGTATCTGGTTCTCAGAATTCCTTGATTTAGGTGCTGTTTTCAGAGTTTTGTTGTGGCTGCTCTAGAATGCCAGGGGTAGCAAGCAGGCTCCCGTTTGGGTTTTCTGAGAGATAAACTGTGATTTTAAATTGTCACTTATCTTTGCCCGGTTCCTTTCCTTATTTCTGTCTTCTGTGCCTGCAAGAAACAGAGAAAGTGCATTTATTTTCAAGTTAAGCTGTAATAAATGACACTGAGAGACTCCATTAAGTGTTCCTTAAACAGCTGAATTAATGCTGTGGCCACAAAGCCACAGCATGAATGCAGAGGAGGTGATGATACTCCTTTTCCCTTAGTCTCTGACAGCATACTCATGTCAAATATAATGGTTATTTGCAGGATCATATGGTGAGAGAAGAAACTAGGAGTCTCACTCCAAAGCAGTGTGCTGTTTTAGATCTGGCACTGGATACTATCAAAGTAAGTGATTCTGTTTCTGTCTCTGTCATTCTCTTGCTCCATCCCCAATTACTATTTGAGAGGATAGTGCCTGCCCCAGTTCCAGAGCAGTCTGTTGCTGCTGTTACAGCAATGAAGGCAGGAGTGATACTGCCATGTTTCTGTAAACCTGAACAGGCTTGGGGGACTGGCATGTGCTGGGAGTCAGCATATTTACATTTAAGTGCTTTGGAAGAGGAAAGCCATGAGCAGTTGGTCTAAGAGCTGGATTTCCGGTACAGAAGCTGTTTTGCGAATTTTTCCATCTCTTTCCCATCCATACAAACAATAGCATGTAAATGTTGGTTGCTGGTTGCAATTCTCCCTCAGTTTTTCCTCTTTCTTTTTACTCTTAGCAATATTTCCATGCTGGTGGGAATGGTCTGAAGAAAACCTTCTTGGAGAAGAGTCCAGACCTGCAGTCACTTCGATATGCTCTCTCTCTCTACACTCAGACCACAGACACTCTCATCAAAACCTTTGTCCAGACTCAGACAGCTCAGGGTAAGACTCTTTTGTGTTGTTGGCAAAGTTGAATGGAGCTATCTGCTCGGTTCGTAATTGCTCTGCCTTGTACTGCCAGTTTGTAGAGCGCTTTTGGCAGTAATGTTTCTGGAAACGTGACAGTTCAAAGCTTTTGAAACAGGGAAGGAGGGAAAGGAGGTTATTTCCCACTCAACAGCTACGTTTTGAGAGAGCAGAAATATATGAAACATAAGGCCTGGGTGTTTGCAGTCTTTTTTTCTGCAATCCTCACTTAAGTCACGTTCCGTAAATTAACATGGGTGGGTGACTTCAGTGAAACTTGAAGTTACTGTACTGAGACTTAACACGGTAGTGTGAGGGACCATTTCAGCAAGACACCACCACAGAAACTAGTTGGTGCCTGTGTCACAGACCACCTGCCAGCAGCCCATGTAGTCCTGACTGAGGCTGATTGACAGCAGTGTGATGAGTCACGGAGCTACACGCTGCCTGTAAAGGGAAAAGTCTCTTAGGAGAGCAATGAAAGCACTGTTTTTTCTGTGGCCAGTAGAGGATATGTGTGAGCTAGATGATTACAAATCACCACAACATACTGGTAAGCTGCTGGGGTGGATCACTGGAGTTCTTTGGTAGCTCTCTGCGAAGGCACGATAGTGGTGCTATTTCATTGATTTGGAAGGGGTAAACAGTTAATTTTCTCTGTCTTTCTTTGCTTTCATATAAGCATCTCCAGATTGTTGTACAGAATAGTTTGGTCTCTAGTCAGGGACTTTCACTGGCTGACTATGAATCTCACTAACCTCAGGAAGAGAGGAGAGATGCTATTGGAGTTAGGCCAAAACTGAAACTGATAGTTTAAGCTTTCAGGCTGTTTAAATACAGGCCATGGTATTGGGCTGCTACATCTCAGCAGCAGAAGTCATAGAACTCCATGGGCATGTCTTTCTGACGTCTTTTTGCTTGGGGTTCTTTTTCCTTTAAATCTGCCAAAACCATGAGAGGTGGTGACTACACGGACTGTACTGTCAGCATACTGTCACACCAAGCCCTGAAATCAAGGGGGAAGCACTCCCTAGCCAACACACTTTTCCCTCGTGTGCAAGTGAGGCTGCTTGATACTGACATTCCTCAACTAGTACAGAAAGTGCTGAGAAATCTTCAGCGAAACAAGGTTTCTTTTTAAAGTGAAAAGTTGAGTGTAGTTTTGGGGGACTGCACCATCCCTGCTTTTAGCAGCACGATATATTCCTGCTTAGGTTGAAACGTACTGCATTGAAACACTGAAGTTAACTAAAGAGGCAATACCTGCATTTGAGAGAACGATCCTATAGCTGTGTCCCAGCAGAGCAACGATGACATCCAGTGGCCAGACAGGTCAAAGACTGCTGCATCCACAAGGGACTAAAGGAACTTGGCTGTTGCCGTTAGAGTTTTTAATGGAGAACTTGTGTGCACAGTGTGTTTTCAGTCTTTGCTGATCAATGGCAAATGTTTCCCATTATATATCCAGACCGTGAATTGAAGCTAGTTTTTCATGTGGATCCTATTGTGTTGTTGTGATGAGCCAAGATATAACCATGTGTGCAGCACTGCTGTGCTACACCCCATGTAAGAGTCAGGAGTGTTTAAAATTAGAGGAGGCAGATGCTCCTCTGAAGTTGTAAAGTGGCAAATTCAGAGCTGATATGAGAAAGCAGCTTCATGCAATGCATGGTTTGACTATAAAACTGCACTGAGAGTGAGCATTTAACAGGTATGCAAAGATCATTGAACATAATCTAAGAGCAGCAGAAATATACAGGGTTGCCACAGAAGTGTGGGGGTTGGGGTTTTTTTGTGGGTGGTTTGTTTGTTTTTAAGAAGCTTAGAATGAAGCTCTAGCTTTAGGACATAAGATGCACTCGTTATGAGGTCATTGATCGTATCTTATAGCTGACTGGTGGCATTTCTTTGTGGCTCATCTTAACCACTTTAGGAGACAGGTAGTGGGCATGGTAGGCCACTGAGCTGGTCCAAATCAGCGTATTCTACATTAGTAAGCTTGAGAATTTTGGGCCCGGTTTGGGGAACAAAAGACTTGAGCTACATCACTAATATCTATAGCATCAATAATGGAATATGTCTGAGAAAGGCATGACTCTCTCCTGGGACTGGGGCTAGAAAAGGATATTGCTTGCATACACTTCTCAGCAACCCCTGTCAGTAGATTGGTTTGGAGATCTGTTCATGTGTTGGAGGGACAGCAGGGTCAGCACTAATACTTACACCTGACATCTGCTTACCAGAGCACTCTGACTGATGTTTCTCTTTGTATAAGTAAAGTTTCCCAGAAGCCTATGGGAGGAAATGGCTGCACACAGAACCATTTAAATGCTGACTAATTCCCTTTCTTGCTTCACTGCTCAATGGTTGCATCTTCCAGTTTTTTGAGGTATCTATTGCCCTGATTGTCTTACTGAGCAGGCTTGTGTAGCACTGTGCCATTAAATGTCTGCTCTGCAAAGTTGGATCATGGCTTGCAGTTTAGTTATGCAGCACAAATTTTGTTCTTGTTTTAACCCTGACAATCCCTTACTCGCAGACAGCCTTGCTCTCCAAAGCCTCTGTTGGAGCGGAAGATCTAAGAGGATATTTTGGCTATTAAGAGCTAGAATATTTGTTTTGTATTTGTTTAAGTGACTCTGCTAATTGGATTGTAATTCATACTCTTCTCTCTTTATCCTGCTTGCTTCTTGCCTTTTGAATTCATGTCTCAGTGCATGATGGGAAAGGTATTAGGTTTACCGCTAATGAGGACGTTCTTCCTGATAAGGGTATGTTCAAGACTAATGTTGTTACCATAACAACATTAGCCAACTGCCTTGCTTTTGAAGTCATCTTGCCCATGCTCAGAAACCTTTTCCAGAGACCCGTTCCCTGTAGCTCCTTGTAGAAGTGAACTGTCACTGAATGCTTGCATCCCACAGACAGGACCACAGGTTGCGCGGTTTAGAAGTCTGTACCTTGCCTGAGAGCCTGTCCCCAAGCTTGAGATTTATTCATGGGGTATGAGAGCTGTCTAGAAAAATGGACTGGTTTTTGAGAGATGCTACGAACTTGTTCCCCTACCCTTTACCATGGGCTGTATATTGCTGTTTCAAGTCCTAGGCTTGCATGTGTATGGTCTGCTGAGACGGGCTACTGTAATACGTGGTAATGTCTGATATGCACTCAAGGTTATGGCCAAGCTTGAACCATCTGCCTTGAAGAGGAATAGCTAAAAGTGTGGATGCTCGGGAGACCCCTAAACAATTAAGTGTTGTTGTGTTTCATCTCTTTTTTTTTTTTTTTTTTCCTATCCAAAGTCTTTTGTTATCTTAGGTGAACTGCATCTGTGATCCATTGCATGAGCTCAGTTCTGCAGTTTCACCTTCCAGTATTGCAATACCAGTGAGACTTCCATGTCAAGATTTAAATCTGCTTGTCACTAAATGTGCAAGCACATGTGTGCACGCAGTTGTACAAGCTCAGAATATTTTTCATTTGCCATCTACAAAGAGTGTTTTTTGTCTCCGAACATTTCAGTTAATAGAACAGTATTTTTGAATGAAGAGACAAGAATGAAGTAGGAAAAAAGATAATCTAAATTTTGTTTCTGTCAAAGGTAATGGAATGATTCCACTGTCATTCCTCTGAAGCATCAGTGTCTCCTTTATAACCTATTAATTACACTAAAGATCAGCAAAATGAAGAGCTGAGTGTTTGGCGGCTGATGTTTCTGCAGATGTGTCCTGATAAAGTTGTTATGTACTGTTGGTAATCTTTTCCATTCCTGTGGAAAATGCCAACAGTGTAAGTGACAGACCTGCACCATCAGATGTGTTAAGTCAATAACGAAGCCTGCTAACTTTAAAGCTCTGTGCTTTAAACAGAAAAGAAGGAACGCTGCCCTTCCAAGTGGGGAGAAAACAGTCCCTCAATATCGTATACAAATGTCACAGCCTAGAGGCTGTTTGTTGTACTTGGGTCAAGAATGAGAATCTACCCAAAGATAATAATTTGACGTTCTGTTTTGTTTGCTAAGATACTTTTACTTGTATATTAATGTGACTTCCACTGCCTACAGTTCTGTGCCATGTAATTCTCTTCAGAGAATTGCACAGATTAGCTCTCAACCTTTTGGTTTTTAAATGAGTGTTTTTGCTGCCTGCAGACTGTTTTGTGAAAGTTGACATGTTAAATCTATCTAATCAAAATGTTTGTTTAATGATATCTTTCAAGCTCCTTATCTTGAATTTCAGGCACACCAATTCTTTCACTTAGCAATGTCATCCTCAGAATTGACAAAATAACACTGCTGTTTGTAGGTACTCAATTACCCTGTGGGTATCCCAATTACAACAGCATTGCTAATTGTCAACCTGAGGTCAGAGAGTTAAAGAGAAAGTAAAATCAATCTCCCAATCTTATCAAAGACTTAATTTTCATTTTGCAAAGCCATCTTCTTCTGTAATTTATATGACATCTTGACTTCCCTACCCAGAAAAATGCCATTTCCACATACTGCATGGTAATTATGATTAAAGGTTAAAAAACATCACGATATGTGGATTGTAGGTTCATGAGATCTTCTGTTACAACATGGAGTATGATGTTCAGCTCTGGGGTCCTCAGGACAGGAAAGACATGGACCTGCTCAAGCGTGTCCAGAGGAGGGACACAAAAATGATCAAGGGGGCTGGAGTACCTCCCCTGTGAAGACAGGCTGAGAGAGTTCTCAGAGTTGAAGAGATTCTCTTCTGAGAAGAGAAGAATCTGTGGAGACCTTGTGAGAAGCTGTGGCTGCCCCCTCGCTGGCAGTGTTCAAGGCCAGGTTGGACGGGGCTTTGAGCAACCTGGTCTAGTGGAAGGTGTTCCTGCCCATGGCAGGGGGGTTGGAACTAGATGATCTTTAAGATCCTTTCTAACCTGAACCATTCCGTGATTCTATGTTATCTTTTCCTGTGTGAAGCTACATCTTGTTTTCTCCCTGCTAACTGATGAAGGGAAATAGGTATGCAAGTTGAGTGATGTGCTCTCATCATTTTTGGTGCATAACAGTGAAGGGGTTCTCACTATCCTCCGAAGGGAAGCAGATGGGCAGTCAGGTTAACAGCTTTTATCTGATGTACAACACGGGAAAATGTTCTTGGAGGGTGAAACTGCACTATGGGTCCATGCAAGTCACTAACATCTTTTGTCTTTTTTTTTGTAAACTTCCTGGTGTGGTTTTTTGTTTTATTGGTTTTTTGCCTTCCCTTTTTTCCTGAGCGGACAGGAATGCCAATACCCACCACTGGAATGCCTGCATGTGCACACAATAGCTTGGCAGAACCTCTGAAAAATCCTTGCTCTCTGTGAGGGTCTATTGGCAAGCTTCAGGTCTTTTAAATTCTTTTAAAATTCTTACTAGTATTCTCAACAGGGTGCGATCTTCATGGTGGAGTGCAACAAATGTTAGTGTTTATGCGTGTTGGGCATGCAAGCCTGATGTTATCTTGCATTAACATTATATTATTGGTGTTGACTGAAAAGCTGGCTCTGGAAGGTGTACTGTGAAAACGCTATATTGTCTTGCTAAGGCCATAAACCAAAGACGGGTGCCAATAAACAATAATCCATGTGTGCACGGGGGCTGTCAATTTTCTTCCAACAGGCTCTGGTGTGGATGATCCTGTGGGTGAAGTGTCTATACAGATTGACCTGTATACCCACCCAGGAACTGGTGAACACAAGGTCACGGTGAAAGGTATGGCAAATCATGTGCTAGTGCTCAGGCTCTGTGACTGCGTTGAGGCAAATCTCCAGTTGGCAGTTCTGTTATTTCTGTGTTAGCTCATGGGATGTGAATCCGTAGTTGTTTTCTCTGTTTCACATCAGGAACATGTAGAGAAACAGCAAATGAACATGTCCAGCCAGTGACATGACAATGTACAGTCCTGTTGTTTATTGGCAATGACACATGAAGTAAACAAAAAACAGATGATGGCTCTCACCAGGCACCACAGTTTAGCCTGTGCTGCAGAGAACAGGGCAGCATGACAGGATGATGTTTCGAAATTGCTCAGTGTAAACCAAGAGATTGCACAGCCAGTAAGAGTTCAGAGGTTCCTCTCCCCCGTCCTGAAGGCCACATTGGTCCCTGAAGAGCTGCTCTGAAAATAACCAAAGCAGTGATTCATCCCAGTCTTCCTCTTCCTCCTTCGTCTGCTTTGCTTGAACACAGCATATTTAACTACTTTAATTTCCTCTGAAGATTTATATAAACAGCTCTTCAGGCCTCTCTTCTGGCTAAATCTACACTGCAATGCAAAAACTGATTTTCAGAGCTATTTCCTGTGCTTCAGTCTGTTCCCACAGTGACCTGAGAGAAAATGAGAATTAAAAAGCTAATAATTCTGGATTCTGGAACCACCCACAGCTCATGGGCTTTGTTTGTCTTACCTGCAGTCTCATTTTCCTTTTCAACAGAGACCTTAATATTGGCCCCCGGAATGCCCCTTTTTTTTATTATCCCACATGTAATGTAGATGTCAGCACTGAAGTGGCAGGGCAGCCTGCTCAGAGCTGCACAAATGCCTCGGTTTTCAGTCTAATTTCTTGCTTGTGCATGTGACAAAAGCTAAGTGCTGTCCCAAGCATTAAGTTCCTTTCACAGAACTTGAACTAGAGCAAAAAAAGCATATCTTTGTATTATAAAAAAGTCCTTCCTGTGTGTGTCAGGACACTGGCATGTTTTGAGTTGGACTTTGTCCTCTAAAACAAGAAATTGAAAGCAGAGCAGAGCAGAAAGATGTCCAGAGCAATGAGAACAAATGAGTGTTTACTATAAAACAGGTTGTGACTCTTTTCCAGTTGTGGCAGCCAACGACCTGAAGTGGCAAACGTCTGGCATGTTCCGTCCCTTTGTTGAAATCACCATGATTGGGCCCCATCAGAGTGACAAGAAGAGGAAGTTCACAACCAAGTCAAAGAGCAACAACTGGGCTCCCAAATACAATGAAACCTTTCACTTGTAAGTGTGAAAAATAGCCTGGGGATCTGACGTGGTAAGTGCAGATGCAGAGGACAGATAGGGTTTCCCAGTGTCCGTGAACAGCCTGCTCAAGGCCCAAAAGAGCACATGTTCCATAGCTTGGCCCACTCCTTGGTGTCTTGGCGGGAAAAGCTAGGTTATGGGAGTTTTTCCTGAGATGCTGAGGTCTGTTCTATACCAGCAGTGTCCTTTGGCTACCTTCTGAAATGCATTGTGTGTCCTGTGAACATATTTTACTGTGCTCCATTGTTTTAATGAACTTTCTGTCTTTTGTTGGTAGAGTTGAGGCTAAAAGTTCATTACATATTTTTAGTTCTTTTTATCTTAATGTGTGTTTTTATCCCAACTTGATCTGTGGGACATGCTTTCTGAACTTGTTTCCAAGGAATACAGCCTTTGGAACTGGTAGTGAGTTGCACTGCTAAAATTGCAGTCTTTCTCAACACCAAGTATTGATCTCTTTTTATTTGGCTTTCGTTATTACAAAGGCATCTTCCTTCTTGGAAGGCTCAACAAAGGGAGCTACAGACTACTACTCACCCAGCTGTACAGTAAGAATGAGAAAAGACATGGCCAGCAAAAGACTGTAAACATCTTGGGGGGAAAAGGACTGTCTGTGTAATTATTTTTTTATGTGAGGAAAGGCAGCCTTCCTCTAAGTGAAGAGATTTTGTCCTTTTTTTATTACTATTCTTTTAATTTTAGAAACATCAGAAAGGTTAGGGGTCTATTTGTATTAGCTTTTGCTTTAATGGAAGGTTCTGAACCTTTAACAAAGACTTCATCCAATTAAAATGCTAATTACTGAAATGAAGCAACCCTTAACAGAAGCAGAAATGTTTAAACTCATCTGAGTTGAAAATCTATTAGCGTGGCTTTAATGTTCTCCACTCCTCTCATCTCTCAGTTTAGCACACATGCACGTAAAGTCAACTTGATAAGGGTTGTTTGTTTTTTCTTTTTAAGTAGTGGGGTTATCTTTATCAGCTGTAAATCAGCAAAAATGCCCATAAGCCATAGGTTTTACTTCTCCCTCTCTGAGCGGGTTTTTTTGCGGCTCATTGAAGCACTCCAGTCAGCTGCTGACACCTTTATTTATGCATTCTGAGAAACTCTAAGTAATCTTGTGTGTGTTTTTCAGCATACTGGGGAATGAAGACGGTCCTGATGCCTATGAGCTCCAAGTCTGCGTGAAGGACTACTGCTTTGCTCGGGAGGACCGGGTACTGGGGATAGCAGTGATGCAGCTCAGAGACATAGCAGACAAAGGAAGCTGTGCTTGCTGGTGCCCCCTTGGGCGCAGGATTCACATGGATGAGACTGGACTTACAGTCCTGAGGATTCTCTCCCAAAGAACCAATGATGAAGTTGCCAGAGAATTTGTGAAGTTGAAGTCTGAATCCCGCTCCACGGAGGAAGGCACCTGAGCTGAGCTGTGTAATGTTCCATTTTCTCTTCTGCCTTGTGCCAATATGTGCAAGTGTTCAACAATTCTCTTAATTACAAAAGGTTTTTTCATGTTGTCTTTGTCGGCTCCGATAGCGCATGTGTGCTGTACAGGATACAAATCCATCAATCTGATGTGAATTATTTATTTTTTAGTAGCTGGGTAAGACACCGTAGAGAATGAGACAATCTCTTCTTATTTAAGATGCAAATTCTGCTTTGTGTATATAAATTATTTTATATTGGAGGCTGGGTATGCTGGGTTTTGTTGATATGCAGCACTGTGATTTTATCCTCTGAATTTGGCAGACGTTAAAAAGGTTCTACATAATCACACTATGATACGAACACATTAATTGTGTGGAAATTGGGAGAAAAAGAATGATTTGGGGTTTTGGCAAGGCACAGCTATCTCTCATTGAATTCGTGTACTGTGGAGCTGCCAGGGGATATTCTGGCACAGATTATACCAATGTCCCAATGTGATATGCAGACACCTCAACGTCTGCTTAAAAAAGAAGTTGCGAGTTGCTCTGAAGATGCACACCAAATGAATGTATGACCATGGATGTGCCGCTGTGAACGTGGGCAACACCAGTGGGCCAAGTGCAGAGGGGCCTAAGATCTCATAGCCAAACGCTGCAAAGGCAAAACAGCAGGAGCAGGCTGCAGCTGCCCTGCCGTTGTATTTGGATGGTGTGTCTCGGAGAGTATCGATCCCTGCGTGCCACAGGGAATCCTGCATCACCATGGGGGTGCTGTAAGCTGCTGAACTCCGCAAGTCATACTTTGGCTGCCGTGACTGACATGGCGCGGAAGGGAACAACTTAGAGCCGTGGCAAGTAACATGGCTGCTATGTATTTTTTTCCACTTCAATATTCTTTTGTTAGTTTTTTGACATAGGATTGGATAATTTAATACTTGCAGGCTTTCTGTAGCATCTGGAGTAGCTGAGACCGTTCCTAGCTATGAACCCAGAAACGATGGCTTGCTTGGGAGAGGGCAACACGTCTCCTGCCTGCAAACCCTCAGTCTGGAGTGCTGGTCAAGGGGCAGCAAGTCCATTCCATTCTGATCTTGAAGTTGCTGGTGGCTATGCTGCGGTTGATCCATGCTGATTGTCATTAATCTGTGACTTAACGATACCATTGAAAATATTTTTGCACTGTCTTAAAGAAGCATCCTGGTTTTGTTTTCTTGCAAAACAAAACACTGTCCTGAGAAAAGCGATTGCAGGGAGGTCAGAATTTCTGACTGAAAATTCATAAGCAGGAAGGTCTGGAGTAGTGATTGCACCTGAGATACATTTGTTGGAGGGCTTTTATTCTTTTGGGGATATTTTTGCTATTTCCAGCTGCCCTTGTGCTCTGGAAAGGGCAGCTGGAACAAGCCAGTCCTTGCCCGTAAAGTACTGTAATACTGTCAATAAATTCAAGAACTGCGTATTGAATGACTTTTTTTTTTTCTATTTTCTCTGACAATTGTACAGCTGTATGATACGACTCCTGTATTTCATGGGCCTGCTTGTAGAGTTCTGAGACAGCACATCTGCTTTGTTCTTGTGCATGGTGTAGTACAATAATGCTCTTCAAAACTCCACGCTATTTGTCATGATTTTGAATCATTGTACGTGCCATTGTTATGAGAACTGTTAGTACAGTCTTTAATAAACTCTTTTAGCAGCATTTGGAGTCGTCTGTTGATGTGTAACTGTAATTGGGTTTGCTAAATCACATAAGGTGGAATTGATACCACGTCTTTGCAAATTACTCTTGTTTAGTACGTTTAGTATTTCTTTGGTGCTGTAGATGCCCAGCAAGGGGTATGAGTCAGACAACGCCCCT